CATCTATTATACATGCTCATAGTAACCATTTTCATTACATGCTCATGGTAACTGTCAAGCACATGCTCATAGTAACTGCTGCCATGTCTCATAGTAACGCCACATGTTTGCAGGTAACTGGTTACACATGCTTTGGTAAATTGCACATGCTCATAGTAAATTACACATGTATGGTAGTAATTGCCACATATGCTCATAAGTAACCATTACACATGCTTGGCGTTCGTCAGTCTGTCCATCCGCTCACCGTCTGTTTACATTTCATGCTAGCCATTACACATGTTCATGCTAACCATTACACATGTTGCTAACCATTAATATGCGTTTCATGTTAACCATTAAACACATGCTCATGTGCACTATTATGTTATTATTACGCTCATGGTAATTCATTACATTATGCCTGCTGGCCATTACATTAATGCTCATAACCATTACACATGCTCATGCTAATCCATTACATGCTCATGCTAACCATTCATTACGCCTCATAACCATTACACGCTCATGCTAACTACACATTACGCTAACCATTACGCTCATATGCAACCTATTACATGCCTTTGCACTACGCTCTGCGCTAACCATTACATGCTGTGGTAACTATTACATTACGTACACATACCATGGTAACCATTACATGCTCATGGTTCACTGCTACTCATGCCAACTATCATTAATTATGCTCATGGTAACCATTGCACATGCTCATGGTAACCATTACACATGCTCATGGTAACCATTACACATGCTCATGGTAACCATTACACATGCTCATGCTAACCATTACACATGCTCATGGTAACCATTACACATGCTCATGGTAACCATTACACATGCTCATGCTAACCATTACACATGCTCATGCTCATGGTAACCGTCACACATGCTCGTGGTAACCATTACACATGCTCATGGTAACCATTACACATGCTCATGCTAACCAATACACATGCTCATGCTAACCATTACACATGCTCATGCTAACCATTACACATGCTCATGCTAACCATTACACATGCTCATGCTAACCATTACACATGCTCATGCTAACCATTACACATGCTCATGCTAACCATTACACAAGCTCATGCTCATGGTAACCGTCACACATGCTCATGGTAACCTTAAGAAAACTCTGAATTAAAATGTTTAAAAAAGTAATCTGAAGAAACAACATTACTGCTAATTGGTGGCAATGATCCTGATGGTGAAATGTTACTGTTTTGGGACGAGCTTTCTGATGAAACTTGGGAAGGACTTTCTTCCTTTTCTTCGACTTTAATATCACCCTCGTTGGAGCTTGAATCTAAATAAAACATTCAAAACTCAATTATCAATAGTTCTTGAGTGAGTTTGAAGCATTAGCAGGTGATGAAATGATTTGTGCAACGCACCTGGGGAATCAGTCTCGGATTCTGAAGATTCAACACTATCTTGGTGCTTTTTCTAGAAATTTGGTAGAGTTAATGAGCTTACATATGCAGGTCAGTTAACAGCATTGAACTAAAACACATGGAATGCTAACTGTAATAGAAAAGCCTGATACTTTTTTGAAGCCAAATCTCACACCCAGCCATGTAAGATTACACCTAGATACATGTGTGTAGCTCAATCAATTTTCACTCCGTCCGCGAGGTAATCTCGAAACACACCACATGCTTGTCTGGGTGTAATCTTTCGTGTATTTTAGTCGCATTCCATGTATTTTAGTTAAATGGTTAATAGCACTATATCATGTGACTTACATTTAGTTGATAACAAGTTCCTCTTCCATTGGTTTTACCCGTTACTTTGGAAAAAAGAGAAGCTGGTGTCCTCGAGTTCGCATGAAGCATTGCATTAAGGCAGGCCAGAGCTTGCGAAAATCTACATCATAGTAGGATGTCAGTCGGTTGCATCAAGCCATCCATGTCATTTTCTATTCATAATTTATATGAATTGCTCTTCAAACTGACTTACTTTAAAGACACCTCTTTAAGCTTTTGATCAAGGATTGCATTGAGTATCTCCTTATGATTCAAAGGTTTCTTTGCATTCTCCAGAACCTTAAAAGCAAAGAATTCAAGTTTATGTACATCAACTCCTGGAAATTCAACGTAGATATAAGATGTTGTTATTTACAATTTTCGCCGCTTCGCCCCAAGTAATTCCTTTCTTTTTAGACTTATCCATCCCTAATTTTTCCATTGACTGGCTCAGTTCGCATGCAGTAAAGTATTATTAGACATTTCCCATAAAAATAGATAAAAGTAAGGATATAAAATTAACATCGTTCCGGTTTATGATAATATTATACATAGATGGAAGCCTGATTGACTTTCACTTGCTTCCATCCCTCAAACTGACATGACGGTGGTCATCCACCCCAATAGTTCTAGAGTTTTTGTACACATAATGCTTCAAAATGTGATAGTTTTTGCTTAATAAGGTATACTCATTCACAAAAGCACAAATAAAATTTTTTAGTAGTAAAAGACGAATACACTTGGTATAGCAATCAATACTAGAATTGTAGGAATTCAGGAGATATTTTACATCAAAAGCTTTTAACCCAAGGATAGATCAGGAAATTCATCCAACATCACAAAATAACTGGGCAAAAACTCATAAATGTAGATATTTTGCTTTTTGATGTCTTTCGTCCATTTTCTAAATATGAGCCCACTACTTTGATATTTACTGACCAGCGGCGTTAGAGTATGCGCTCTTTCCCCATGCAAATGAAAGCCACCAACAATTAATAAAATATTTTTCATTACAGAAATCGTTAATTTCTTCAGGTAATTTTATTAATTTTTTTCTTTTGCAGCTCTATAACACATTAATGAATGTTTGATTTTCCAATTTAGTTCATGGTCTACGTCATAAATGCTGATAATTTGTATTATATGTCGCGTTAACTTTTGCCTTTGAAGTTGTAATTAAATTTTTTGACGAGTTGAGCGAACGGAAATAGAAATAATTTTACTTCTGCTGGCATTCAAACTTTATGAAACAATTTAAACATTCGGTATTTCAGATTTTGACAAGGTCTATTCATGGCACCACAGTTACGAGGATTTGTTCAGACCAGAATTAGGAATGATCTTATTGTTGGTACTGTGTTGGGTATAGCTGCCGGATTCATGTGGAAGTTTGGTTATGCAGACCCTTTGAGAAAGAAATACGCTCGATATTATAGCAACTTTAACCCAGAAAAGGCTGCATTGGAGATTGAACAGGAATGAATTCTGTCGCATTATTTAATAGGTTTGTATGAATTAATACATAAAATATTCTTGCACAATCTTTACTCTTATGATCATTGGTCTGTAGTAAATGAACTTTGATGAAGGTGTAATACCAAACAATGAACAGTTCATTGGCATATTTGAGAAACATCAGAAATATTTAAAACTTTTACATAAGGACTCACTCTGTAGAAAGAGACTTGTTGACTTTTTTGTCATCTTACAGTATCGGTAGGAACTTTTCAATTTTAGAAAAGAAAGGGGCCAACACCCCATCCCCACACCAACATATGTGCCCCCTTGTGTCCCCTCATTCATGAGTTTTAAACGTTGATGTCATATGATGAAATCATGACGTGCTGTACTGTGATCTACTTCACTATGAGTCTTCCCTAAGGAAATTTTAGTTTTTACATCACCGGTGTTTGGTTAATGCAAAAGTTTTTTGTTACATTTTTCTAGATTTCAGTTCAAACTGTATGATGATGGGATGTGTTGTTGATGTTTCTAAATATTTCTCTTGAGAACTACTCAATGTTTATTGATGAATTTCTATAAGTGTGATGTAATAAAGATTTGTTGGAAAAACAGAATATGCTTTTTATATAAAGGGCCAAATTTTGTCTAAAGAAAGATCTAGTCTTGTTCATAGTTTATGAAGAAGTTTTGAAGGTATAAATATGTTGATATCACAATTCTAAAGTCATCCCCAAAAAGAAATTTGAATATTTTGGGCTGTGGAAGAGGTTTCACACATATTTTAAAATCTCAATTGACTATGACATCGGGAATGGAGACATCTGTTTTGAGAACTTCAGGTTTTAAAGCTCTCTTTCTAAACTGCTTAAATGTGGTTTGCTTTGTTATAATTTTTGGCATTACTTTAACCTTGCCATCATCCAGTTTAGTTAAAGCGATGTCTTGTGGTCCGTTAATTTCCACCAATGATACAGTTCTATCTAGAGGTGAACCTATAATGAAATATGGTAAGAGTTAGACCTGTTTCAAACATCAAATTAAACTTTTCATGTGACCAATTAACCCTCATTTATCCCTTAATATCCCTTGTTTATCCCTCATTACCCCCATTGATCCCTTATTATCCCTCATTATCCCTTATTATTCCTTGTTGATCCCTTATTATCCCTCATTGATAATTTCTTATCCATCATTGATTCCCTTAATATCCCAAGAAAACATAAGACATTTTAAACAGACCTAACTCAAACATAATAGGACAGCTGTATAGTTTTGCAATAGTTTCATGTATGTAAGAACCCTTTCCTTAGCTACCATTTTCTATGAATACCTTTTTACCTTGTGGTGAATTTGTAAAATCCTCTAGCAACTGTGACGTCAGTGGTACAGGTGACCCAAGTCGTTTGTTGTTGTTGAGTTTTTTCTGCAGCAGTTTAGTTCTCAGTTCCCCATCACGTGACATCTCTCTTGTTTCTTGAACTTTAAACCTCATGTTTTCAACGGAATCCGTGTCGTCTTTTTTCGAACTTTGACGTCCTTTATTCCCAGGGTCTAATCTCCTGGATACACCATTTTCCGTAGGTACATTAGGCAGCAACAGCAACTCGTTATTGGTGAATATTTGTTTTGATTTTTCTTTGTCTCTGTTCTTTGAAAGTTTACTTTTTCTTCCTTGAGGTAGCCTCGTATCATCGTTCGAGATATTTTCTTGTCTTTTCACGTTTCGTTCTGAATGGTTCGTTGTCCTGGCAAGTGAAGTATACGATGCACTTGCATTCGATTGTTTCAATGTCGGTTTTTCGCTTATTAGTCTGCGCGCAATCTGATTGGTTGATTTTGTGGCAACGCTCCTTTCATTGGTCAGTTCTACCATAACTGACGTAATGTGTTGCGAATACTTCCATATCAAGACATCGTTTTCGTCGCCTTCCCATTGTGTTGAATTATTGTCAGCCATTAAACTAAAGACAGGATTAATAATGTCGATGCAATGGTCTCTTATTTTATGTCTTTGGTCTGGCTGTGTTATCAAATTTAATACATTCCATGTGGTTAGTTTTTGAAATCAATGAAACGAAAGATTTAAGAACTATTTCAAGCTTTATAGCAACTTGGAAACTTTGTTTTTTAAACGTCTGCGTTTTGTCGCATCCTTGTCTGTCCACTCGAAAAAATGTCGTTAAAACAATTTTACATCGATGAAAAAAGAAAAATTTTCGTTCATTTTCAAGCTTTTCGGCAAAAATTGATAGGTTAGACCGAGACATACAGGGTTATAATAGGACATACACGAATACATTGGAATGTACTGAGACACACTAGGATACATCAGGACACATTGTGACCCATTAGGAAATGCTGAGATGTAAAGGGATATAGACATGCATACTTCACCAGTTGATCCATTGATCTCAATTCTCGTTTTTCTTTTTCTTCTTTTTCTTTTTTCTTCTTGTCCGCTTCCATTTTTGCTATTTTCTTTCGTTCCTGCGCATCTCTCTTTGCCTTCGTCTCCACCCGATGACGTTGCAGTCGTTCTTCTAAAATTTCCAGTAAGTTGTCGCCGTCCATAGAATTACGAAAACTAATGTATTCCTTCCACATATTGAAGAGAACGCGAAAAACGGTAATCTGAAAAAGAAAAATCTTACTCTTACTCTTACACTTCTTTGTCAAGAAACCATTTAGTCGACTCATACTAGAAGATATTTCTCTTTACACATTGAACTAAAATACACGAACGCTACTTGTAATACAAAACCCTATGTTGTTTATAAGAAAATTGTTTTACTACTCATTGAACTAAATAAAGTACATGGAACGCTACCTGTAATAAAAACGCCTGATAATATTTTGAAGCCAAATCTTACACCCAGACACGCGTGTGTAATTCAATCAATTATCACTCCACGAGAGACTCTCGAAACACTAAACACGCGTGTCTGGGTGTAAGATTTGGCTTCAATTTTTTGCTTCAGGTAGCGTTCCATGTATTTTAGTTCAATGTATTTACCTGAACTTCCCTGAATAAATAAGGCCCGATATTTGGGTTTCTACACGTGATCCTCTCCATTAATTTTTCTGCCATTTCAATGGGTACGTCAACCTGCAACTCTGGTGGAATGGATGACGTAATGAAGCAGTCTGTGATTGCTTGAACTTTTTTTTTGACGCAATCTTCAGATGCGTGACGATGACACAAATCCTAGAGAACATTTTAAATTGTCATCGTCTTTAGCTGCAGTTGTAGCTTAGTTGGTAGAGCATTGAAGACAATGATTATCTTGTTACTATACCTGAGTACATCACAACAACGTGATGTTATTATCTATGATATTAAGATATGAAAGAAACTAGGAACACTGTGTTTTCAAATTTCATCATAGTTCACAGTTGGATCAATAAATTTATGGAGTGTTAAAAGCCGTTGGATTATAGATTTACTCACTTTATATTTCTGTATCTCGATCCAAAATAAAATATCATTCTCGTAAGTCTCCCCTTTTAACGCCACAAACTTCCTGAACGCTATACATAACTCTGGATTGTTCAACGTCTGACGTAATGCGACTATATCACGTGATGAGGAGACCCAACGACTGTTGAGAATCTGTAAGGCACAATAAAGATCATGTTAAGTAAGCTGCAAAAACAGCAACACACTTCTATTGTTGAAAACGTTCTTCCTCGTTTAATAGAGTATCAAAGCTTGCTTTAGTTTTGCATATTCTAGAATACGTTCTTGTGAACCTTTGTCTTCACCGTTGTTTGCCTCGTTCACGTCTTAAAATATCTTATTTCCATGTAAACCTTCCTTTAAAATGTCCATAGTTGTCAACTTTCGAATTAGAATTACGAGAAACCTTCTCCATTTTGAACTACGGGTAATCTTCTTCCTCTTGAACTACGGGCAATCTTCTTCCACTTGAGCTACAGGCAATCTTCTCCCTTATGAGCTACGGGCAATCTTCGTCCTTATGAGCAACGGGCAATCTTCTTCCTTGTGAACTACGGGCAATCTTCTTTCTTATGAGCAACGGGCAATCTTCTTCCTCTTGAACTACGGGCAATCCTCTTTCTTATGAACTACGGGCAATCTTCTTCCTTATGAACTACGGGCAATCCTCTTTCTTATGAACTACGGGCAATCTTCTTCCTCTTGAACTACGGGCAATCTTCTTCCTTATGAACTACGGGCAATCTTCTTCCTTATGAACTACGGGCAATCTTCTTCCTTATGAACTACGGGCAATCTTCTTCCTTATGAACTACGGGCAATCTTCTTCCTCGTGAACTACGGGCAATCTTCTTCCTTATGAACTACGGGCAATCTTCTTCCTCTTGAACTACGGGCAATCTTCTTCCTTATGAACTACGGGCAATCTTCTTCCTCTTGAACTACGGGCAATCTTCTTCCTTATGAACTACGGGCAATCTTCTTCCTTATGAACTACGGGCAATCTTCTTCCTCGTGAACTACGGGCAATCCTCTTTCTTATGAACTACGGGCAATCTTCTTCCTTATGAACTACGGGCAATCACTCACTTTTTTTGCTGGCAAGATTTTCTCAATCAAACCATATAGAAACCCTTCCCCACTCACACTCCAGATAGCTTCACTTCCGCCCCAAGTCCTAACGAAAACTAACACAAAGTCCCCAAGTAGCTCCCCTCTCCCCTCAACCCGTGCGTAAAACCACCCCCTTGACCTTCAGTCACCCTTTCTTCTATCCCAATCATAACATAAACCCACATACATACCCTCCATGTAGCTTCACTTTTCTGCAATCTTCGCCTAAGCATCATATCTTCAACAACATCAGATATTTTTGGTTTAGGATTCTGTCTTTCTTTGTACTCATTGCTTTTCTTATACATCACTAACCACAGTCGTTCTATACGACATCGTACGTATTTCTGACATTCTACAATGACGGACGATGATGGACGTTCTTTGATTCGATGAGCACCGTTCATTGATAATATCTATAAAATAAATTCAAGATATTGCACTTTATTGTACTTTATAGTACTTTGTTGTACATTATAGTACTTTAAAGTAAATGGTTTGAACCCGGCAGTATTGTTACATGTTTGTAGATGTAGATCGTCCAGGTTGGTATAGTCCTTGAGAAGGACTGTTCTTGTTGTTGTTGACTGACGTTTCGACAACCTTAGCGGTAGTCATCTTCAGAGTCAAAAGAAGGTATTGGAGGATTCAAAGAGGTATTGCGATAAATTTTCAAATATATCCGTCATTTGTTTGTTTTTTAAAAAATGAAATTTTCTGTGACGTCAATTCCGTTCGTCTATCCTCTTATACATCACAGCTCTCGACCAATGAAATTGCTCAAATTCTTCTGGTTATAATATAATTCTTTATAGTACATTGAACTTTGATGTTCATATACAACATGGGAACCAATCACATTTTTGCAATGTGTTTAAACTAACAAAATTTAACTGAATCCAGGGGTTAATTACCCACTGATCTAGAACCCAATCTACTAGATATCTGACTCCGCCGAAATTGTATAGTAATGACTGAGACAAGCCGCCATTTGGAAAGGTGGCAAAACTGACGATATTTACGACTAATATCTGCTTTTCCTGAGTTGATATAGAGTCGCAAAGTTGATAGTCTAGGTTTAATTTTTTTAAATGTTTGATATGATGGGTTTTTGAAACTTTATTCTAACTTATTTTTCGTTTTGAGTTTTGCTTTTTGCCATCTTTCAAGATGGCGTCCTTGCTTCACCACCTTGACACGGTTAGTTAGACATCTAGAAGACTGGATTCTAAATCATTGTAATTACCACGCTCTGAGCTTGCTTTGTAGCTGGACTGTCTGGACCAAAGAAGTATCTTGAACTAAGATAAGCGTGTCCTATTTCCTTTGCTTTTTTGTTTCGTTTCTCTTGGACAGTTCTCGGCATTCGTTGAAAAGTTTCCATGTCCGTCCACGCCATTAAATCCATCTTACCTTACGAAAATAAAAAGTTAAAAAGACTAGTTGATTTAGATTCATTCAGATGTTGTGGTTCACAGACAAGAAAGAGAGATTAGCATTATAGGGTGTTTGCATCAGTCGCCATGTTGGAGGAAAATCCCATAAAGTGAAAGGAATTTTTGTTAATTTCTTGCTCTGTCGAGCATCGGTACTTTGATGTGACCCTCCAACATGGCCGCTATGACGTCATATGAAAACACCATATATGGAAGGGAGGTCCTGGGAACATTGGAGCTGGAGCAATAACTCCACAAGATGGCGTCACATTTCAACTTGACTATGTTAAAATATTTAGGCTGCGCGTAAATGTCTCAAACACACGTACTAAATGACTAGGATAAGAAAGGGTACAGGGATACACGATTTGCTAAGGTCGTAGATAAGCCCTCCAAACAGTGAAAGGTGATATTAAGGGGGCAGTCTACCTAATATTTTCGGGACGAAAGTTCGTGGTAATATTTCTCATGTTCTAACGAGATATCTATAAAAGTTTTATGTTTATTACAACAAGCTACATCCTTACTACTTGTATGGTAAAACTTAAATGTCTCAGTGGAATAGATAGCTTTAAATTTTTTGCCACCGTGTAAGTCGATAATTACCTAGAATGGGAAATTGCAACATCTAACAAATTTTGCTGAAGCCATTATCTGATTTCATTTTATGATAGAGCTCTTTTTCTAGTTTAATTTGATATGTTGATACCCAGCAGGTGTTGAACAGTTAGCAAAAGCATTCGAATGTAGAAAACTGTCTTTGACGAAGGTAGGCTGCTCTTTAAGATCAGTGGACATTGTTGTGTAGTTTTATTTTGAGTTTGAACGAGGGAGCAAGGATTTACACATGCGCAGACACTTTAATAGACTCAGCACCACTAGATACAGGGTAAGGCTTTTCTCCTATGCACTTTGATAGGCTCTGCCCACCCGAAAAACGATGTAAACAGATATCTCGTTGGAATATCTGATGCATATTAACCATTTAACTACAATACATGGAACGCCACCTGAAGCAAATAATTGAAGCCAACTCTTACCTTAGACACGTGAGATTTTACACCCAGACACGCGAGATTTTACCCCAGACACGCGTGTTTAGTGTTTCGAGATTCTCTCGCGGAGTAATAATTGATTGGACTACACACGCGTGTCTGAGGTGAAATCACGGCTTCAAAAAATTATTAGGGTTTTGTATTACAGGTAGAGTTCCATAAATTTTAGTTCAATGATATTAACACAGCTTTCACGTTTACGAAACGACTGATCGACGAACAATTTTGTCTTTTTTGGGATATTGAGTTTTACTGATTGTGCTGCTGTTGGTGGACCAGATTAAAGTGCCTATGACACGAAAATTTTTGTGTTTGCAATGACCAGAACTTTTGAAATGACAGTGTACTTTCTGAAACAGTTCATGCATATCTCTTTTCCACCTCGAGATATTGAAGTTTTTGTTTTTTTTCCATTTTATCTAACTTGTGACGTCATATTGCGTAATGAGTTCCCACAATGCTTCAAATACTCTTCAGTTTCCTGGCAACTTTATATCTTATACCATTAACACGTCACAACAAACGGAACTCTGTCCTTGTGAAGTAAAGTATCGTTAAATATACCTGATACTCCTAACTCTCATTATGCAATGTGACGTCTTAAATTGGATAAATCGGACATAGCATAAACCTCAATATCTCAAGAATTAAAAGTGATCTGCATAAAATGTTTTAGAAAGTACACTGCCATTTTAAAAGTTCTGGTCATTGCAAACATAAAAATTTTCGCGTCATAGGCACTTTAAAAATACCTTCAGTACGCTTCAAAATCTTCCCAATGCATTCCTTAATCATCTCTCATAGCTATCACCTATTGCATGACTTCTCAAATTAGAAATGACTTTTTTATGACTTAAACCGCTCTCAGTTTAACCACAGAATAGACATCTAACAGAAGGCCAACTCGGCTAAAATCGTGGAGTATTTTTTCACTACGCATGCGTGACTTCCCAGCAAGATACTTTCACAAAATCAATATGGAATAGTATTGCACGAGAATTCTATTTTACAAATAATTCACCTCAAAGCAAAACTATTGTGATCTTAGCGGAAGTATCTTGCTGGAAGGTGTGTCTCCTTAGAATTTACTTCAGAGAGTTGGGGCCATGAACATCAGAGGCTCCGGACACGAGTGGATCTTCTGCTAAGATATCTATTCTGTGGTTTAACTATACTGGTTACTTCCTGTGTTGTAAACAAGGCGTTCTTCCTGGTCAACACGTGTACATAAGCATAAACAACAAAACTTTTGTCATTTTTTGCTCAAGAGGATTACAAAGACAAAGAAATCGAGTTTTTTTTATTTAAATCTTCTTTCGTTTTTCTTTTAGTTAACGCTTATTTCTTTTTCTTATGCTTGCGCTTATGTCAATGCTTCGTTGAATGTCTTTGTATGTGTAATCTTTCCTAGCTGTGCTAACGTTTAAATTCACTCTTTTGGAGCAGGCCTCAATAGTCGCGAGATCACGTTTAGTGCGTTAAAGTGAAGCAAGAATTCGTTGGCGAAACATCGACTGATTTTTATCCGAATTTAAAGTAAAAATGGACCAAACGTACACAATCCCAAAGCATTTACAAATAGAAACAGTCGATCTTCCTCATAAGCATGTTGTTGTCTATGGTGAAAAAGAAATTGTGAGCCACCTTGAAATACGTCTTCATACTCGATTAGGCATTCCTGAAAACTCCTATTCTTCGACTTCTCGAGAGCAATCTCAGGCGTTAAAAATAATTGGAGGAGAATCATACACCTCTCTTCAACTCGTGAAGATGGATATTGTTCAAGTCTTAGAAAAGTATGGATTTCAGATGACGAGCATTTGCTACGATGCACCACGTCAAACAGAAAAGATTATATTGATGAAACCAGCCAATACATCACCGACATTAGTATCAGCTACTGCCTACTGAAATGTTACGATAGAAGAGATGATAGAAACTATAAAGAGAAACTGAACGTCTTCTTTAATTTTCGATGTCCTTAGAATAGAAAAATTTGCAATTGTGATCAATAAAAATCTTCAAGTAAAACTTCACTTGTTAACATTATTTCACACACGATTGCATTAAAGTCGATGATGATTGTATTTAATCATTGCGGGGCTTAAAATGAGATTTTTTTATTGATATTGACAGCCGTGCATTAAGTTTAAACGCTATAAACGTTACATAACGCTTGAAAATCGCATTTTACGAAGCCCCTTCAACCAAAAATCGGTCTGCATTTGTTATTCAAATCTACGGAAATTGTTATTTGCGTCTATAGGTTTGTCGAAGACAAATTAGTCAGTCAAATGACAAATCGTCGACAGCCACTTCTGCGAGAAAATATTAAAGGACTCATTGATAACGCTGTGATTTTTTGCATTAAGGTTCACACGAGTCCGGATATTATTGAAAACGGAGGTTTTTTCCTGCATTTCGGCCTTCTGTTCACACGTAAACGGCGTTTACGATACCCGAAAAATGGTGGTTTTCGTCGAATACGCTCTTCAGAGGGAAGATTTTTGAAAACGCCGGTTTTGTGTTTTCGTGAGAAGGAACGAAAACGAAGGTTTTCAAAAACGTTGACATTACAATCGAGTTCAGTCCATTGATAATTGATAAGTCGATCAACTGCATATGAAAATGACGGATCTAAAGTGCCTGGCTTCTTTACTTTGAATGATATAAACATTATCGTAGGTTTGTTTTCTTTTATCTTATACTCCTTCATAATTTTAAGGAGAAGCTCAAGCACATGTGATCAGTTCATAATGGGACTTCTCAAATTAGAAATGACTTTTTTCTCACACTAATTAAACACAGTATAGGCAATATAGCTACAGTTAGGCCATTTCACTCAACAACTGGCTGCTGTAGATTCAATAAGATTACTGGCTGCCGTAAGCCATTTCATCGTTCTTATTGGTCAGAAATTGCAATTGACTGGATGCCACCATGGTAATCGTATGAAACAAGCCTAAACATACAAAGACATTCAACGAAGCATGTGACACAAGCCTTGTATAAGGGAAGAAATAAGGCCTGTTTCAAACGTCGTATTTCACATGAGTCAAATGCAATTAAAACAAAAGATAATGAGGAATTTTATCTCATTTTCTATTGTTCTAAATCCATTCGGTTCATGTAAAATGTGACGTTTGAAACGGGCCTAAGCATTAGCTGAAAGAAATACGAAAGAAGATTTAAATAAAAAAACTCGATTTCTTTGTCTTTGTAATCCTCTTGAGCAAAAAATGACAAAAGTTTTGTTGTTTATGCTTATGTACACGTGTTGACCAGGAATAACGCCTTGTTTGCAACACAGGAAGTAACCAGCATATTTAAAACAGCATATATAGAGAACACACAGCAGAGCCACTCCATTTTTTTTGTGCCATGCATATCTCATTGCGCATGTGATTACCATAGTGGCAGCGAGTCAATTGCAATTTCTGACCAATAAGAATGATGAAATGGCTAACGGCAGCCAGTAATCGTATTAAATATACAGCAGCCAGTTGCACAGTGAAATGGCCCAACTGTAGCTATATTGCCTATACTGTGTTTAATTAGTGCGAGAAAGAAGTCATTTCTAATTTGAGAAGTGACATTATGAACTGATCACATGTGCTTGAGCTTCTCCTTAAAATTATGAAGGAGTATAAGATAAAAGAAAACAAACCTACGATAATGTTGAAATCATTCCAAGTAAAGAAGTCAGGCACTTTAGATCCGTCATTTTCATACGCAGTTGATCGACATATCAATTATCAATGGACTCAACTCGATTGTAATGTCAACGTTTTTGAAAACCTTCGTTTTCGTTCCTTCTCACGAAAACACAAAACCGGCGTTTTCAAAAATCGTCACTCTGAAGAGCGTATTCGACGAAAAATACCATTTTTCGGGTATCGTAAACGCCGTTTACATGT